GGTACCGAGTATTGGGTACCGTCAGTTCAGCACATCACTATGGCCAATTGGATTTGATTAGATTCATTGTCTATCTGAAGCAACCGGTGTTTTTCCAGAATTTTATTTCTTATAAATAGTACTTGTTATTAAACGAAAATATTCATTATTAATATTAACAAAGCCCAAGCAACATGATCAAGGTAAGTATGTGAACGTAACTTGCATTGTTTATCTCGTTTGCAGATGCCTGAAAAGCAAAGTCCAAAGTTCATTCGAGCCCACTGTGGTTGGGTGTGTGTTTGTTTTTCGACTTTCATATGAAGTTGCTTGCGACTGAAATACAGTGCATCAACGCTCCATTTAGCGCTGCAGATATTCTACGTTGTTGAGCACATCATGAAACTACATATTGAAATTACATGGGAAATATTTATTACATAACTCCATGCATTCTTTCAGAACGCTGTATCTTTGGTAACTGGTGGCGCTTCTGGCTTAGGACGCGCCACAGTTGAACGGCTGGCTCGTCAAGGTGCTCGTGTTGTACTGGCCGATTTAAGCAGCTCCAAAGGCAGTGAGGCGGCACGAGAAATAGGTGATAATGTGATTTTTGCACCAGTCGATGTGACCTCGGAAAAAGATGTGCAAGCAGCAGTGCAAACTGCCAAAGAGAAGTTTGGACGCCTTGATTTAATTGTTAATTGTGCTGGCACAGCTACTGCTATAAAAACCTATAACTTTAACAAGAATGTCGCTCATCGTTTGGATGACTTCACTCGTGTCATCATGGTCAACACAGTTGGCACTTTCAACGTTATTCGTCTTGGTGCAGGTGTAATGGGTGCCAATGAACCGAACAAGGATGGTCAACGTGGAGTCATTGTAAACACCGCATCCGTAGCTGCTTTCGATGGTCAAATTGGACAGGCCGCATACTCGGCCTCTAAGTCTGCTGTTGTTGGCATGACTCTTCCTATTGCGCGCGATCTAAGCACACAAGGCATTCGTGTGTGCACCATAGCTCCTGGTCTATTCAATACACCTATGTTGATGGCTTTGCCCGAAAAGGTGCGTGCATTCTTGGCCAAATCAATTCCGTTTCCGCAACGTTTGGGTGACCCATCCGAATATGCTCACTTAGTGCAGGCGATCTACGAAAATCCATTGCTGAACGGTGAAACCATTCGTCTCGATGGTGCTCTTCGCATGCAGCCTTAAATGTTGGAGTTTGTATCCTAATCCCTTAATTTCGTGGGATAAATTATTGCATTTAATATGAACGAAATTTTTGTAAATCTAGGCATTAAGATGGATATTACATACTAAAAAGTCGAAAAGCTCGATTTCAAATTTGTTAAAACGAGTATAAAGTGAGTTTTTCTATATACTTTTTATAAAAAAAAATAAATGAAAATACATACATACATAAAATTTTTTTTTATTTTATTGAGATTGCTTATCAGTTGCTTTGTTAAGGGTCAACGATAAACTAGAGTATATTATTCATCATTAGTGCGGTATCACCACATAGATCTTTTACGAAAATTCATTAGTGAACGGTGAAACCGTTCGTTGTTGTTGTTGTAGCAGCATACAAATTCCCCAAAGACTTTTTGGGGAGTGTTGCTGGAGTGACAGTCCTTGGCCAGATATAAATCTGGGTCGTTCCGGTTACGTAGACCCGACTGTCGTGGGAACCGTTCGTATTGATGCGTGCTCTTCGCATGCAGGCTTAAATGTAGGATTTTGTACCCTAATCTCTCGGGCGAATCCTTTATTTTCGTGGGATAAATTATTGCATTTAATTTGAACGACATTTTTGTAAATCTAGGCATTAAGTTGGATTTTTTATTGCACGCTGTTGCATTCATGTACATACATACTAGTATCTATAAAAGTCAATAAGGTCGATTATAAATTTGTTAAAATGAGCATAACGTGAGTTTTCTATACATACATATGTATATATGTATACATAATTTTTATAAAAAAAATAAAAGAAATTTCCTACACATACAAACTTTTTTTATTTGAGATTGCTTATCAGCTGTTTTGTTAAGGGACAACGATAAACTTGTATATTTGTATTAATCATTAGTGTGGTATCACCATTTAGATCTTTTACACTTTGCTATAATTTCAAGAATTCAATGAGCTCATTTGCAAATTGAAAATTGTCTAGTTTTATTTGTAATTCATTAAATTTTGTAAATTTTTGGAATATTGACTATATGGGTATTCATCTAAATGCTCAAATGCCTCGTAAGAGCGTAAACGTTTAAATAAAACGGATTTTCATATAAACCTTAATTGGTGACCTCATGACAACAAAACATTTTCACATTTCATTTTCACATTTTTTCGGTTATAAAGTTCATAAAATATTAATATTTAAAATATCTAAAAACTGAACTTTAACCTTCTAGAACCTCTGCATTTTTTACTTGCGCCAAATCATTTGGCATGGTTGAAATAAGCATAAAAAGTTCTATTGATCTGCATTTTTCGTTTTTGCATAGCTGAACGGTCGGTATTCTAGATTTGTTCCCGGAAATGACGAATAACTTAAATCAAAAATGCATATTTTTATGTATTGTTTAGTATTTCCATTAAAACACCAAATATATTGCAAATTCGTGTAGAATTAGTAATACACATTTTACTTCTAATTGTATACTTTGCGTACTTTTTTTAGTACCATTCTACTACCGTTTTCGCAAAATGCGATCACATTCTTCCCCTTTCTCCTACTTCCAAAATACAAATCTAGATAAAGGAGTGTCAAATTTTAGCTGTCACAAATTACATAACCTTGTATTATTGAATCATGTATTTTATGTATGTATAAGGGTATAGAATTCATTGAATTTTCTGCTACAATTTTTTATTAGAAACAAGTAATTTTTAACAAAAAAAAAACGACTTAAAAAAAATATATATATATGTATATATATTTCATGATCCAATAATCGGAGCTAAACCAGATTAGTATGAGACACTACCATTCCCATGCGAAAAGAATTATCGAAATCGGTTGACGTGGTCCAAAGTTATGCGGTAACATACATAAAAATATATATATATATATTTCGACGAACTGATAACCTCCTTCTTTTTTGGAAGTCGGCTAAAATAAGGAAACAAAGCAACGACAAATTTAATTTACCGTACTAACAAAAGTAAGCTGAAAAGCAGAGACCGTACCGGTTATGCATTTTATAATAAAAAGCAAAAAATTTAAGTTATTTTTTTACTTTTATTATTTTGAGCAAATAATACCGAGTAATTTTTCTTTTTATTTTTTAAGGAAAAAATAAAAGTTGAAATATGCCTTTTAATTTTTTGAGCAGAAAATAATCGGTAATTGTTGCCTTATATTTTTTCAGGCAAAATAAAAGTCAAAGTTGGGTATGGCTTCTTCAAGTGGGCACCGAATTTACCAACATTAATATTTTTCAATGATATTCAGGCAGCGCCGAGTTGTTTAGATTTAAGAAACATTAAACTATACAATGAAATTATTTGCGTTACAAATTTTTTTTTTGTTTTTCAATCATTTTTTTATGAAAAATTTAAGTTTTAAGCAATTTCTGCGCCTCGTGGACGAACATTTTTAAGAACAACTTATGTAATAAACATTTCTGCATTTATCTATGAAAACAAATTCGTGTATTTCGATATAGTTTGGTCGGAATTAATTTTTATTTGCCAGCGTGCGGGCCCGACAATTACCGATTATTTCCTGCTCAAAAGAATAAAAGGCAAATTTTAAATTTTGTTTTTGCCTTAAAAAAGTAAAAGGCAGGTATAATGGGTATTATTTTTTACTATGCCTTTTTGATGTCAAAAATTGCAATATAACTTTTATTTTCAGTCTCTGCTGAGAAGGACGTTCACAGTTGATAAAATTGCCGAGTAGCAACTAGCAGTTTACCAAAACGGCCGAAATGAGTGTGAAGACCCCTTATATAAAAATAACTAAGACTTTTAGGCCCTGTGCCAATTGATAGAAAATAGAAAATTTTGACGGATCAAAGTAAAAATTTGACACTTCTCGTGGTGAATACGAACGTCAAAATTTTACCTAGCTCATGCATACATACAGCATAAAAATAGCTTACGTTACTTGCAAATTATAAAATAAATATAAATTTTAAGAATTTCAGCAACACACAAAAATAGAGCTTTCGCACGAGCGTTTGTTTGGTTTTTCAACTGTCAAAATTTTACTTTGCATTTGGCACAGCAAAATTCAATTTATATGTACACCATAGTAAATTTTTCCACCCCGTCTCACCACGGAGAAAAAAGTTACCGATTGGCACAGGCCCAAATAAACAGTTTAGGATGAAAACTATAAATAATTCTAATTAATGTATAGAACTAATAGCAACAACCACCCCGTCAAGTTGAAATAGCGGCAAATCAGCTGAACTTGATAGTAGTACATAAATAGGTTGAATAAGGAAATGAATTAGCAACCAGAGTTTACGGGGTATGCGTATCTCAGTGATTAGCGTTGCTGACTTTGCACATCGATGATGTGGGCAGTGTTGCCAGGTCTTCTGCATGAGAAAACGTCCCCCTTGGTCTGAAAAAACGTCATTTCCTACCCAAAAACGTCTTTTCCAAATGTATGCACACAGAATTGTTCTTATTAAACTTTTATTGTATACAAAGGAACATACATATGAACGTAAGGTATATTAAAATGGCATTTCGATAGAGCACATTTAAAATGCATTAGAATGGAATTCATTAGAATTGCTCAATTTAGTGAATACCACTATTGTAAACTGGTTTGAGATCGTTAATATAAAAATGATTTTATACATACACTTGTGATCAGCTGATTAAGTCATCAACATTTTGATCGATTTTGGCTGTTTTTCGATTGTTTATTTAATATTTATTATTTTTCCATAAAATCCAAGCTCATTTTATAACAAACAAAATATAAATCCACATTAAATTTCATTTGTGCAAAAATTATAAAAAATCTGCAAATTTCAGCTATATTTTCGCCTTTTTATTCAGATTTTTTAGAATTTTTTTGAGTATGCAGTTTGATAGCCCACTAAATTTCAGGGCAATAATGTATAAGTTTAAAGGGGCTACATAATCGCTCTGATTTTTAATAATTTTTTTTTCTTGTAGACATTTCGTTGTCGAGAATGCTAAATTAAGTTCTGCTAAGAAGGAGCACAGCAATATTTCAGCCTTTTTTGCATTCATTACACTTTCAATGAAGTCTTAAAAAAGTCGCCTACATTTTTCTGACTTTTTATGCTGTTCCAGCTTTTTGGTGCTTTTGCTAGCGTGCGTGTTGCAATAGATCACCTCTTCCTGATTTGGCTTTTAATGAGCAATTGCAAACATTACAATAAGTCTCGTAACCTCAAGTGTTTACACAACCAGCCTTTGTCCCAAGAATCCAAAAAAATGCGCGTATACTTGGTTTGTATCATATTTAAGTCATCTGTGTCCAAAGAATAAATATCTTTGAAGCAGCTGCTGCAAAACACAAAGCTTGTAAAGATTTATTAAGAAAGTAATTCAAAACCAGTTCTACTTACAAAATTTAGTAACAGAGCAAAATTACTGGGAAGTTAAAAAACGTAAATTTTTACACAAAAAACGTCCAAACGTCAACAGCATACAAAAAACGTCCATATGACGTTAAAAACGTCAACCTGGCAACGCTGGATGTGGGTTCGATCCCTGCCGAAGTCTAGAGGCAGAAGTCTGATGAGGAGATGTGATAATCTCCGAAGTAGCAGGTATAACTTCTACCGATTACACTGTTGCTTTTTCCATTTTTCCTAAAAATCGCGGTACAATGCTCAATAATACTTTTGAAATAAATATTAATACGCTACAATAATAGTGACATATCAAAATATATTATTAGATAAAATACATATTTGGTCGATCATAATAAAATAAAATTAGTTCCGCTTTTTATACTCTATCCAGTAAAAACTAATAACAATTAATATTCCCACAGACGACATTATCGCATAGCATACGGGTCGTTGAGTCCATTTATGGCTGTCAAGTTGCTTGATCTATGCACATACATACATATATGTATAACAAAGAAGTCCAATGATTAATGTTTTCAAATTATAATTTGGTATATACATACATATTAGGGTGCCCATCGAAAAGGTTTTTTTGGAAATCTCAAGATCCTACCCCCTAATTTTATTCGTTTTTATGAGAAATATGACTTCCTATTTTTATAGATTTTTAAAGGTCATTTAGAGGGCGCAAGGTTAGAAAATACGATTTTGTAGATTTATGAGTTTTTGAATGACTATTTTTGATTCGATTTGAAGGATCGTATATGAACTGAGGAGAGGATATATAGGCCTTTAAAATGGTATATAAAAATCTATTGTCGGACCTGGCTTGTTGGAATTTTTTAA